AGCCTCGATTGACGACAGGAAGCAATTCGGCAGCCGACCTGGAAGCGCTGAGCAGAACTGAGGAATCTGTAAGTTGTATGTCTCCCTCCCTTTAAAGGGACGGGTAAGGCAGAGTGTGAGAGAGCGAGAGCGAGAGGGAGAGAGAGAGAGAGAGAGAGAGAGAGAGAGAGAGAGAGAGAGAGAGCGAGAGAGAGTGAGTGAGAGGAGGAAGGATCTTTACGTTGTGTCACTCCCCCTTTAAAACAAATCTTCTCTGCTAGGTGACTTGTGAGGGAACGAGTCGACAAGCCGGATCGTCAAAACAACGAAAAAAGGGAGACATCTTTGGAATACCATCTGATGTGGCATTGGCAAAATACGTGGAACTGACGGCATCCGTCGAGGGAATTCGGCAGAGATATCAGGTAACTAGCGGAGAGTAATGGGGAAAAATTGGTGGAATGTGTAAACTGACTGCCACTTCGTCCATTAATGGAGCAGGCAGGCCAGCAGAGAGCATTTTGGATGAATTGAAGCATTCGGAAAAGTCAAAAACGGCGAAAATGAGTCGTAAAATTTCCGGCCAGCTAGCAGAGACAATTTGTGGAAAATTCTTGGTAGTGGCTAGCTGGCTGTCAGACTATCGATCAGTAAAGCTAGCAGGCTAGCAGAGACCATTTGGGATTAGCAGAGAGGTTCGAAAGTCCGTGAAAATCCAAAAATTCTAAGCCAAGCATCTGGAGCAAACTAGCAGAGATCATTGCGGAAAATCTCGCGAATGCTTAACTGGGTGGCAGATAAGCTAGCAGAGGCCATTTGAGATCCGTCTGGTCTCCTTTAAAGGACCGTCGAAGGCAAAAATAACCATGTTTAGGTGGTCTATGAGGTCCCCTTCAATTCTCTACGGCGATATCAGCTGGTTGTGGCCAGATGTATGGCCGAGGCGATTGATGGGGAAGAGGAGAAGCCATTGCAGGTAGAAAAAGAGAAAGAGAGAGAGAGCGAGAGAGCGGGAGAGAGAGGGGGGGGGGGGTGAGAGAGATGACTCGTCTTTATCCGATTACGCGATGAAATTCCTGCTGAACTCGTTTTTTAGGGAGAATGCCGTTTTGTAATAATGATGAAGGGAGCTCCAGAATTGATTCTTTCCCATTGTTCTTCACAGCGAGGAAGAGATGGACTCTCTCCAATCGATCAACACTTCAGAAACGAAGCCCAGGTCGGGAATTTGTAGTTTGTATTTTGTAGCTTGTACGCCAGAATTGCGAAAACCAGACTTTAGTGTTTGTAGTCCGTAGTTTGTCGTGTCTGAAAATACACTATTTCACCGGAAAAACGCCAAAAACAGCCCTCGATTCGAATTTTGGAGTTTGTAGTCTGTAGTTTGAAGCCTGGAAACTGTGGTCTGGATGCCAGTTAATGGTTCTATTGCATTTTTAGCCTTTTGGGAACCAGGAATTTTGCTAAAGGCCCTTTTTAGGAGGCCTGGGAGCAGTTCGGGCATGCCGGAAGGAGGGTGATCGCATTTGCACAGGTTTGCCCTCTCTCTCGCTGTCACTCTCGCTCTCTTTCTCTCTCTCCTGATAGTCTCTCGCTTCCAGAAGCACTTCAACGCCGATGCCGGGACTCGATTCCCTCCTGGTGATGATTCGGTAGATGATCACTGGCCGAAAGATCTCGAATTCCTTGGAATGGCCGCAATTATGGATCCGCCAAGGTATGGCCCCTCTACTTCCGCCTGTTTTCCTGTCGTAATCGGCTAACCCTAAATTTCCAGACCCGAAACGGCCACCGCCATCCATCAGTGCAAGCAGGCTGGAATCAAGGTGCGTTGCTTGAGTTTTGTGGATTCTTGAGACGCGACGCGACCGCAACGCGTTCACTCCATCATTTTGTAGGTGTTCATGATCACCGGTGATCATCCAACGACCGCCACGGCTATTGCACAACAGATTGGGCTCATATCGGAGGCACAGACACCGGTAGGAGAGAGAGAGAGAGGGGGGGGAGAGAGGGAGAGGGAGAGAAAGTGGGAGAGAGAGAGAGGGAGAGGATGAGCGAGAGGGAGAGAGAGTGAGAGAGAGGGAGCCTAAGAGAGAGAGGGGAGAGTGAGAGAGAGAGAGGGAGAGAGATGGAGAGAGAGAGCGACAGCGATAGAGAGAGTGAGTGAGTGAGAGAGACAGACATAGGGAGAGAAAGAGAGAGCGCGCGCGAGAGAGAGACAGAGATAGAGAGAGGGATAGAGAGAGCGGGAGAAAGAGAGAGAGAGAGAGAGAGAGAGAGAGAGAGAGAGAGAGAGAGAGAGAGAGGGAGAGAGAGAGGGTGAGAAAGGGGGAGAGCGATAGACAGAGCCCGCAATTAGCAGAGACCCTTTGCAGCACCTTGGCCACAAATCGAAGGCGGATGGCTCGAGTGATTGGACGGTGGTGACCGGGGATCAATTGTCAACGTATACCAAACAGGATTGGGACCATTTGCTCCGTCATAAATATATCGTCTTTGCCAGGTTTCTCTTGGACTACAGACTACAAGCTACACTTTCTAGAACGAACGCCGACGAGAAGCTGAATATCGTGACGGAGTGCCAGAATCGGGGAGAGGTCGGTTTGACCTGGGGACCTAGCAGAGACTTTGGTGGAATTCCCAGAGGATCTTTGCTAGCCAGTTAGCTTTTTCTAGATGTCACCAGCCCTTTAAAAGGCTTTTTCGAGCTGTTTTCCGCAAAAACCCCTGCTAGCTTGCCCCTGAACCAAGTGTCTCTACCCCTTTAAGATGCATTTTCCAGGTGGTAGCCGTAACGGGAGGTGGTGTAGATGATGCTCCAGCTCTTGCTCATGCCAATATTGGAATAGCCGTCGGTCTATCGGGAAGTGATGTGGCAAAACAGACGGCAGACATCGTGCTCCTGGACGACAATTTCGCGTCGATTGTACAGGGCATTGAGGAGGGGAGGCTGTTGTTTGATAATCTCCGGTAAGTGGCTTCAAAGGTCTTTTACAACTGAAAAAAATTCGGGTGGGCAAGCTAGCCGAGACCATTGCGAAAAATTGGATCCTCAGAATTTGCCTTCAATGGGCCTTTAAAACGCCAAAAAGGCGAGAATCGAGGGAGGCAGGCTAGCAGAGAAACTTTGCCTTTACAGACTATCCCTCGCCTACACGTTTGCCCATCTTTGGCCGGAAGTGGTCCCAATCATGCTGACATTTCTCTTCGGGTTGCCCCATGGGTTGTCGCCACTTCAGGTACCTTCAACGGTCCTTTAAGATGAGATTTTTCAGATTCTTTCCGTGGATTTGGCCTCAGAATTGCCGCCGTCGATCTCGTTGGCGTACGAGCAGCCGGAAAGGTATCTCTTTCACTCAGTATCTCTCTCTCTCTCGCTCTCTCTATCTCTCGCTCTAGCTCTCGCTCTATCTCTCGCTCTATCCCCCTCTCTTCTCTCACTCTCTCTCGCACGCTCTTTCTCTCTCTCTCGCTCTCTCTCTCTTTCTCTCTCCCTCTCCCTCCCTCCCTCTCTCTCTATCTCTCTCGCCTTCTCTCTCGCTCGCTCTCTCTCTTTCTCTCTCTCGCTCTCTCTCCTTCTCACTCCGTTTTGCAGAGACATCATGCTCACCCCACCACGAAGTAGAAGCGCCAAACTGCTGAGCAAGGGTCTCATCCTGTATTCCTATCTATTTGCTGGATGTGGAATCACGGCTGGGTGTATATTCTCTTTTCTTGCTGTGTATTGGTGGGTAGCAAGCAGTGATTCTTTGTGGATTCGACTACTAGATGGCAATCTAGCAAATCTCCTTGAGGAACCAAAGTTTCTTTAGGTACTACAACATTCCACTCTCTCAGCTCGTCTACACCGCTGAGCATCACTGGAAGGTGGGAGAGAGAGAGAGAGAGAGAGAGAGAGAGAGAGAGAAAGAGAGAGAAAGAGAGGGAGCGAAATAGTGAGTGTGAGAGAGATAGAGAGTGAGAGAGAAAGAGAGAGAAAGAGAGAGCGAGACCCTTCCAGATCGGTGCGGCAAATCTAACAATCGGTGACGCCTTCCAAAACGTGACCTACACCGAGGAGCAACAGCTACATATCAAGGGACAGGCGGCAGCCGCGTGGCAAATAACACTCGTCATGAGTCAGGTAGCACCAAAATCCCATGTCGTGATCGATTAAACCCCAAGGTATTCCATCTGTGCAACTGTACGACGCGTCGAGTCTCCGTTTTTCGCCACGGTATCACGAACGTCGTCTCATTCTTTGCCGTCATCATCGAGGTGGGTGGCAGGCTAGCAGAGATTCTTAGAGATGGGGCAGGCCAGCGGAGACCATTTGAGAAACCCCCGATTTCCAGGTGCTGATGCTGATCATGTTCGTCTACACCCCTGCTGCTCAATACGTCATGGACATCCGGTCACCACCGGGGTATCAGTTTCCTCGCACTCGATTACGCCATCAAATTGCAGCTTCGTGTGGGCGTTCGCGCCTTTCGTCGGCTTGTACCTGCTCGTCTTCAACGAGTTGCGAAAATTCCTGATCCGGCGGCATCCGAGGCATTGGCTCGTCAAACTCATCAAGTGGTAGCACGCGTTATGGCTACCGTAACCCCTCAGAAAGACGTACAAAACAGCGTTTTGTAGCCTGTAGTTTGTAGTCTAGAATGTAAATATCTATCCAAAAATCTATAATTTGCGCTGTTCTAAATATCCCCGTGTTTTGTCTTTTTTTTTCTCCCCGACCTTCTCCGACGTGTCGCGCGCCCTGTGATCTTCTACTGATTTTCTGACGCCAAAAAATTCTTTACCAAATTTTGTGCTTTTTTTCCTATATTAAAAGTCGATATTTTGTATTAATTTTAATAAATTTATATATGCACAATTTATTCACGCAAAAAAAAACACGAAAAACCGAACGGCGAGAGAAATTTGACCAGCGAAATTAGATACCGTAATCAGATGAGAAGGGGTAAAAAAACTTAACAAAACGTACGAGACGATACGGTAGAGTACGACGGGATACGGTAGGTGGGCGTGGCTTATCCGGGTGGCCATTGCAGCTGACGACCGCCGAGGACATGTAGATGGATGTGGAACACCGACTGGCAGCCGTCTTTCCCGTTGTTGATTACCTGAAAAAATTAGATTACAGGTGGGGCGACAGTTCCGCAAAATTCTCTGCTAGCTTGCTAGCCCCTTAAAGATTTCCTAAAAATTCCCTGCTAGCCTGCCCGGCCTTCAAGAGCGCCTATAATTTCCTCAAAAATCTCTGCCAGCCTGCCCAATTGACTACACATTCCTCGAAGGATCTTTGCTAGCTCGCCCCACGTCTCAAGTGCGCCTGGAATTTCCTCAATAATCTCTGCTAGCCTGCCAGCTAGCCTCTCAAAATCCTAAATATTCCTTGCTAGCTTGCCCGCGGCTCGAGAATACGAAGATCTTCGTAAAGAATTTCTGCAAGCTTGCCCGCTCGTCCAAAAAATTCCTCACAGCTTCTTTGCTAGAGGCCAGACCTTCCAGAAAGATCGGCTTGGATTTCCTAAGGAATCTCTGCTAGGTCGCCTCGACAATTGCCTAATTTAGCGAAAAAATGACGATTTTTAACCGGTTACGCCATCAAAATAGGGCTGAATCGGAGAAAAAGCGGAAAAACTACGCTCACGGATTCAATTACGCCATCAAATGCAGCAAATTCGGAAAAAGCGTAAAAAAATTACCGTGCGATATCCGTTGTCGAGCTTCAGCTCCTTGGCCACGCGACGAGCGGTGAGGAGCAGCTTGCCGAGGAGGGCTTCATCCTAAAAAGTAGATTAAGCCGAAATCCATAAAAATCGATACCTTGTCCTCAGCGTCCTCGAGACTCGGGATATGCTTCTTGGGGATGACGAGGAAATGGACCGGCGCTTGCGGGGAGACGTCGTGGAACGCGAGAACCTGAAAAAAAACTACATAAAATTCCCGAAAAGTGGTAAAAAAATCCTCAAAAATCTCTGCTAATCTGCCCTCATTTCCTCAAGCAATCTCTGCTAGCTGGCCATCAAAAAAAACCAGGAAGCCTAGTTTTTGAGCATAAAAATCGATTTTTCGCGCCTAAAAAAGCTAACAACCAAAAAAGTACTTTGGAAATTTCCGACCAATAATTCCCGATATGCTGAACGTTTTTATGTAAAAAAAAAAACTGACATCATCGTCCTCGTAGATGATCTTGGCGGGAATCTCCTTCCTGATGATCTTCCCGAAGAGCGTGTCGCCGCCCTTTTGCGCCGTCTGCGCCTTCTCCACCTCGGTGGCCATCGCGCGAACTCGTTGAAGTTGAGGGTAGGGCCTGGAAAGAGTATTTAAAAAGCTTAATAAAATCGGAAAAGAAGAAAAGAAAGAAAAGAAAACATACAGAATTTGACGGGCAAAAAGGGAGGCCCTCGAGAAAGTGGCAATCGGGAGCCGGGCCCGCCCGAGCATCGAGACCACTGAAAAAGAGATGGAGGAATTGTGAGGAAAATAGAGCTAATTCCGGGACGACAAAGAAGGCGATAAACTGAACAATAGCAGGCAAGCGGAAATTGAATTTTAGAGAAGTTTTAGCAACCTGAAACCTATTTTCGTGGCAGATTATCCGTCAAAAGATCGAGAACAATCGGTTTTCATGCCTCTAACAAGCCTAAAAACCGGAAAAATACGCCGACCTTGGTTGTTTAGAGTCAATTGGTTTCATTAAAACGATTTTATGAGGTTTTTGAGCCAAAATGGCTTGATTTACTTTTATGGTCCCCGTCCGAAAAGTGGTTTTTCGTGTCGGAATCGATTCAGAATTGTTCGAAATGTGGTTTACAGTTGAAAAAAAGGGTCGGAAAGATGTTTTTGCTAGGAAATATGCACTTTTTTATGAAAATTTGAGGATCATAAAATGGGGTACGGGGGACTGAAGTTTATGGTCCTCGGCTGAAAAGCAATTTTTCTTGTCGGAAAATATCCAGAAATGTTCAAACTATCGTTTGCAGTTCAAAAAAATCGTCGGAAGGACCCTTATTAGCTTCAACAAATGCTTTGATACAAAAATTCATTCAACCCAATTTTAGCCTAAAAATAAGGCTTCGTGCCACCCGGGGCCTAGTCGCTTCGGATGGGTGCGAGCTCGTACAGTGTTTCGAAATCGGGGCGCCCGAGCAGCGCGCAGCGCCCAGGCGCCCTGATTTCGAAAGAGTGGAGCGGCAGCCCATCCGAAGCGACGGCCCGCCTTGCCTGACAATGCTACGGACCACACCCTGTTCCTAAGTCTTAGGGGACGAAGAACATCTTTCCGGCACTTTTTTTCGATGTACTATGCATTACCAACATTAATCTATTGAAATGGTGAAAGAAAAAACACTTTTCAGGTGAGGACCATAAACTTCAGTCCCCCGTACCCCCTTTTATGGTCCTCAAATTTTCGTGAAAAAAAATTATTTTCTTCCAAAAAAATTGCTTTCCGACCATTTTTTTGAGCTACAAACGATATTTTAAACATTTCTGGATAGTTTCCGACAAGAAAAATTGCTTTTCAGCCGAGGACCATAAACTTCAGTCCCCCGTACCCCATTTTATGGTCCTCAAATTTTCATAAAAAAGTGCATATTTCCTAGCAAAAACATCTTTCCGACCCTTTTTTTTCAACTGTAAACCACATTTCGAACAATTCTGAATCGGTTCCGACACGAAAAACCACTTTTCGGACGAGGACCATAAAAGTAAATTTTCCCGCCAAAATTTCAGTGGAATCCTTGGTGCCGCCAGATGGCCAAGTTAAATTAGGGGCGAAAATGAAGAAAATTGATCGAATTGACTGCGATAATGGATTATATAAACGTAGCAACAGAAACTGCAAACGCCGATATCGACGTTTCTGCGCTGACTTCTTTGTCGAGGATTAGTAGCTTTATTTCAAGCAAAAAATTGAGATATTTGGAAAGGAAGGCGTCGGCCAAAAAGTCAAATCTGCCTTTCCAAATTTCCAAAAACTGGCGAACACTGGGAGGTCACTCTACCCGAAAAACAAGCCCAAAATCGCAGCAGCCGAACGGCCAAAAAGCATTGATAAGCGCGATCCGTTGGCGTGTGTATTTGTTGGAGACTGTTCTCCCACTGGGAGGCGTGGCTTGGCCGTTGTATCGAGACTGTCCCCCTGCTGCTAGGGGTGGAGACCTGTTTTCCCGGGGTGGTAGGAGAAGGGGGGCTTTGGTTGTGTGTGAGTGAGTGTGTGGCTGTGGTGGTAGTGGCTCTCCTCGGCTGTCCCAATTCTCGGCCAACGGAACGGGTGGCGAGGCGAGAGTCGGGCGAGAGAACGCCGCAAATTGAGAGGGCCCAGCCCGGCAGCTCCCCGATCGCAAAGCGGGCACACGATTCGCGGGTCGTTAGGCGTGTCGTGTAGCCCCCGGGTGGCCCTGTTTGCCGATTTGGACGCCCCGGGCCAGGCCTCAATGAGGACCCCGGAATTGGGCCCCTAAAAATTTAGGAAAAGCTGAAGGGATGGTTTTGAAGCGGAAATCGACATGGAACTCCCTTTTCTGAGCTTCACCTCGATTCCAGGCCCCCCACGATTGCCCTAGTTTTTATGGCCGTGACCCAATTGTCGGGCGGTAACTTATTCAGTGCGGTTTTTGGCAGGTTTTTGGGGTTTTTAGGCGTCTGGAAGCTTGAAAAGGGGTAAGATAACCGCTAATTTATAGCGGCCAATCGACATGGCGATGTTTGCGTGTTTTTCAGGCTCATTTTGATGCCTCAGAAGTTTTTATGACTTTTTAGAAACTTTTACTTGGCTAGTCACATCGAAAATTTCGCTGTTTTCTCGAGTTTCTCCACCCATCTTTGTTCGTAGTTTTTGAAGCGGGAAGCTTCTCCTGCCCCTTATTTCTGTAAAATCATAAAGTTTTACAACATCATTTCGAAAGTTCTAAAGCGCTTTTCGTGCTAATCTGTTCCCTCTCTCGTTTTTCGTCGTTTTCTCGCATTAATAGGCGATACAATCGATATGGTACCCATCTCTTTTCATAGCGGAATCGGCCACTTTTAGACGCAAACTCGTCCCACTAAAATTGAGAAAAATAAGTGGTTTTCAGCGCTTTTTGCCTAGTTTTTTACATTTCGATTTTAACGCGATTGACCGGGTTTGCTTCTATTATCGCAAAAATACGAGCTTCTTGCATTTTTTCAAAAACGGTTCTTTTTTTCTGTTTTGATGTTTCCACTGCGTTGCTAGGGGGGGGTTTTCCGGCAGTAGTTTTTCACGTTCTCACATTTCTCACATTCGTTTTTCTGGGTTCGTTTAGGCTTTAGATACTTTTTTTCTGCAGTTTTAAGCCTTTTTTTGAGCATGGATTCGGCTGACCGCGTTTTAGATGGTTCATCAATGGCCCTGGCGTTCTTTCAGCATCGTTTTTCTAGGATTTTAGTTTTCTAAAGGTTGTGATGAGGTTTTTCAGACGTGTAGTGGTAGATTCTAGTGTGTTTTCTTTGTTTTCCTCGAGTTTCTAGGCGATTTTCGAGCCGCGGGATTTCGAAAACGCATGAAAATGGGTATTTCAAGCTTTTCCGAGCTTCCGGGAGGCTATAAAACTCTTTATAGAGCATTTTTTACATTTCTATAGTTCTCTGGTATTTCAAAATGACTAAAATAATATATTTTGCAGGCACCCTGCGAGCCGCAGCTCCGTTTGGCCCGGGCCTTGATGTGTTTTGTAGTGCGGGGATGGCCGCCTCGACATCTGGCATGATGGTCCCATCAACAGCCCTATCTTCGCAATCATCATCAGCATCACAGGGCCAATGCCCTCCTCCTCCTGGGCCCTCTTCTTCTTCGGCCATCAACAATTCACTTCCGCTCCAACACCCATCTACTGCCCACTCAATGTCCTCTACAATGACGGCTATCGGACAACAGGTATGCTTCTGATCTGACAAAATTGGTGGTTTAGGCACTTTTTTCAGTCTTCCGATGTAAAAAAATGTGGCTCATTCGATTGAGCTTGAAATTTTGAACAAAAATGGGCTTTCAAAAACTTAAAAAAGGCTCTTTCGCGGGATCACCTTTTTTCTAAGGGTCCCATTTTTCTAATATGCATAGAAGAAGTGTTTCTAAAGTGTTTTTGCTATTATTAAACCTAAAAACTTTACAAATTTTGATGAACTATGCGAAAAAACGGTGATTTTTCGACTAAAAAAGGCAGTTTTCGACTGAAATTAAACCAAATTTTTCTAAGCGTTTTTCTACTTCAATATATAGTTAATTTTACTAAAACACTATCATTATGAGACGACGTAACATTGCGTTCCTAGGCATTTCTAGAGATAGCAACAAAGTTGGTCCCCCAAATGTCAGGCTCTATCGAATGAGCAACATCTCACACATCGAAAAACTCCAAAAAGCGCCTACATACGCTCATTATCAGTATTTTTCTATAAAAATAAGCGTATAATAACCCCCTATTTGTAGGCCGCCTACACGTCCCAAATGTCATCCACCGAGGCCTATGCGATGCAGATGATGGCGAGGAGTACGGCCCGTGTCCTCGATATTTTCAATTTTACGGTCGGTCTTGCGTGAAAAATCACCAAATTTATGGTTTTCTGAGTTAATTTGGATAAGTTAGATAATTTAGAACTTTCCGTTAGTTTTGTCTTAAACACTGACGGATTTTTACTTTTCTGACCGTTTTTATGATAGAAATAGCTTGAAAAACTATGGAAACACGAAATTTTACTTTTCAGGTCTTTTTACGTGTTTTTACAAAGCTGAAAAATCGCTTCAAAGAAGTTCTAGACCGATAAAACGTTGGAAATTACCTGTAGATCTTCGGAAATCGAGAAAAATCGCAATTTCGCCGCAACAAAAAAATGTATTTCCGATTTTCAGACGGTTTCCCGGGACTCGCTGAACGCGTTGGCCGACCTGTCGCGGAGGTATATCGAGCGGCTGTGCGTCGAGTCGAAGCTGTTCATGGAGCATGGTACCAATTAGAATTATATTTTGAAAAATACGTATTTTTAGGCGGCCGTACGCTTTGCGACGCGGAGGACGTGCAGTGCGCGATGGGGCGGCTGAACATTCATGGGACCGATTTGCACGAGTATATGACGAAGGTAATTTCACTCTCTGTCTGTCTCTCTCCCTCTCTCTCTCTCTGTCTCTCTCTATCTCTCTCTCGCTCTCTCTCTCTCTCTCTCGCTCGTTCTAGTTTGATTTAGATTTTTTATAACTCGTTTTCCAGGTTCGCGTCGATCTCTCAACGCAGCGCGGCGCCACCATCCCCGTCAGCTTCGAGCAGCGGGTACGTTTTTCCTGTCAATTTTCAGTTAAAGTCGTTTTTAGGCTGGAAAACCGGTTTTTCCGTCTAAAATTGTGAAAATTTCGGATTTTTTGTGCATTTTCTGGATTTTTTCGCACCGTTTTTACTTCACATTGGGCTAAATTTGATCAAAAACAATATAAAAATCTATTTCAAGTATTTTATAGCTGATTTAGACGCTTACGATTCAAAAAATTAAGATTTTTGACCCGCGAATATGAAATTTTTTCAGTTAATATAAGTTTTAGTGGCTTTTTGGCCGTTTTTACCATTATTTTTCAGCCAATGCCCAAGCTGCCGACCTACCTACCCCAGCACTGCTCGATCTCGATGACGTGCCCCTCGGAGAAGGAGATCGAGCAGAGGAGGGCCGATCAGGGCCCCATTTTGCCGTGTTTACCCTCGCTTCATCATGATACAAATGCTAATGGTAAGGATCTGACGCCCGATCTAAAAATTTGGTGCCAACGGCGAGACGCCACGCGAACGTCCCGCTTGGACGCCATAAAAGTGTCATAATCCATTACGCAATGAAAAGACGGCTTGCACACGTTTTACTAGAGATTTTTCCACTTCGCGAAGCGTGACGCGTGCACCGTTTTCCATTGCGTAATCGATTACGCCCTTTTGAAGTCCGCAGCGCGCGCTATAAAAAAATATCTGGGCAATCCATAGCCGAAAATCGATGAAAATGCATTGCTTGGCCCTTTAAAAGCTAGATTTATCTAAAAAAATCCCTGAATTTGAAAAATGGGTTTTTGGCTCTTGTTGACCAGTTTTTTCAACATTCAATCGGAATTTTACATCTTTCCGGGTCTTTCGGAATTTACGGTTTTAGTTTTTGCTTTTTAAAAAAGTTAATTTTACGAAATCTCTACCGCTCAATTTTCAGACGTGAATCGCCCATCTACCAGCACACCATTGCCGTCCGTTCTCCCGCCACCTCCCCTCGCCTCGCCCAGCCCCGCCAAGCCTCAGCCCTCCTCACAATCGGTGGCCGAGAAAAAGGAGGTCCATGACGATCTCTGGGACTTCTCCACCTGCGACACCGTCTCGCTCGGCGTCGCGTCGAAGAGCCAGACGAATGTCGTGTCGCGATTTGGTGGGTTTTTCGCGATTTTTTCGGATTTCGGGGTGGCCAATTCCTTGCCAGGCGTTTTCTCGATCCCAGGAATCTCGGCTAGCCTGCCTGGTTGGAAATTAGGATAATTTCGCTTGCAATGCGGCCAAAAGAAAACGAAGGAAATTTTTGGAGTTTGTTTAAGGTCTTTTGAAAACTTTTTTTTTGAGATTTGAAGGTTTCCCGCGTGTTTCCGTATCCTAAAGAGTCCTTGCTAGCCTGCTCTGGGTCTCGATTCTGCTAACAGGCTAACTAGGCTTCAAATCCGGTGATAAACAGGAAATTTTGGGCATTTTTCGGGGCGTTTAAACATTTTTAGGGCTTCGAAAGAGTGAAATCGATTTTCGGGGGCTTTTTCTCTATCCTAAGGAATCCCTGCTAGTCTGCCTGAATCGAAATTCGACCCGAAACGAAAAAATCCGTTTTTTTTTGTGCATTTTTCTCTACCCTCTCCAGCATTTCCCATTCTCCAGCTGTTTTTCTGGCTCTCAAAATACCTAAAAAAACGTTTTTTTCAGACAAAGCCATCAGACGGCGGCAGAGCCCGATCCCGAGCAGCAGCACGCCGAAGAAGGGCAAGGCCCGCGATCTCATTGTACGTTTTTTGGGATTTTCGATCGCTGAAGATCTGATTTCCGCAAGAATCCCTGCAAAATACTCATTTTTAGAACAACCACACCTCGGGCGTGAAATCGGCCCGTTCGAGTCCTGTCCCTCCACACTCACCCAGCTCGCCGGCCCCTTCAACGTCGGGGATGGGCGGCAAGAAGTACGACAGCAGCCCCAATCTCAAGGAGATGGAGGTAGAGATTTTGAGCTTTTTTTGGGACTAAGCAAGCTAGCAGAGGGAATTTAGGAAATACGATTTTTTTCGGTTTATTCTGATGGCCTGTCGACCTAGCCGAGGAAATTTGGGAAATTTTTGAAAATGGCAATCTTGCAGCGTCTCCTTGCGGAATTTGAGCCGATTTTTTAAAGCGGCTGGTAAAAATTGCGGAAAAATAGCCTGAGTTTTTTTGCGGCATTACATGCCTATTTGTCGCTTGACGAGCTAGCAGAGATTTTTAGGGAAGGTAGGGATTGCGCTGGGCGGCCCAGCAGAGATTTTTGGGGTCAGGCAAACTAGCAGAGATCCCTAGGGAAAGATTTGACAAAATTTTTCGGCACATATATCTATTTTGTTTCTTAAAATCGGCAATCTAGCAGAGATTCTTGAGGAATTGGGAGGTTTTCTGGAGCGGCAAGCTAGCAGTGATTTTTTGGGAATCTTGGCAATTTTTTAGCGCTTCAAAATGTCTTTTTTTTTACTGTAAATTTCCCCATTTTCAGAACGGCCCCCCGAAGCTGTCGGTGAACCGGCTGAAGAAGCTGGAGAAGAAGCGGCCGGTCAGCCCCCTCGTCTCCCAACACCCACCAAATATCATCAACAACAGCAATGGGACTGCGGCTTCATCATCTACAGCTGCTGCAGCCGCTGCCCTGGCCGCCCTCATCCCGAATGCGAGCAATCTGCTGAAGGAGATCCATCAAATGCCCGCCCTTCTGCCCGAGGAGATCGTCCCGCAGTTGCTGTACGTTTTCGGGAATTTCTGAACCTTTCAGGGAAGAAAAACAACGTAAAAATTCGCTTAAATGTTGAAATTCGCAAAAGGGAAGAATTTCGTGAAAACTATACGTTTTAATAGCAAAAATCAAATTCAAAATATATAAAATTTGGACTACGGTAGGTGAAAAATATTTAGATAAAAAAGAATAAAATAATAGATTTAAAATTAGATAGACGGTCAGGCTGTTTTTGAGCGAATTACCTAGCGTAATCGGTTGCTGCGCCGGTTTTTTTGGATTTTAAAACGCTAAAAACCTATAAAACGACGAAAAATAGATTGAAACTAAAAAAATATGTAAAAATCACTAAAACCAAAACAATTTCAGAAACACGTATTTCCCGGATCGGAACGCCCCGACGCCGCCGTATCGCTACGAAGAGTAGGTTCAAAAATACCGTTAAATCATTAAATTTATACAGCAAAAAGCTCTAAATTGTAAAAAATTAATCTTAAAAAATGCTCATTAAAGTATTAATTAAAAATTAAACGAATTATCGATATTTCAGCGATTAGTTAACCCGATTTTTTTCAGGCCATGCGACGAGCCGCCACCGGTCCTCCCCGTCTCGCAGCCAAAGCCCAAAAAGGAGAAGAAGGACAAGACGAAAAAGGACAAAAGGTTCGTCGAGTGTTTTTGCGGTTTTATAGAGCCTGGAAAGCGCATAATTTCATGGCGTAATCGATTCAGGGCGTGGCATTTTTTACCTTAAAAAATTATCGATGCTCAAAAACGCAGCTTTTTGGCCTTTGAAATTATTTTTGTGCCTTTTCGCCTTTTTACTCGGAAAATGGCATGCCTAAAAAGGGGCGTGGCCTAACTCCTGGTTTCGGGGTGCCTTTAAAATTATTTTTATAGGTTTAATACAGGTTTGGATTCAGAAAATGACGAAAAGAAACGTGGCCGGAATCCGGGCTTCTGGGTGCCTTTAAAATCCATTTTAGGGATTTTGATACATTTTTGATTTTTTTTCTGAGCTGATAAAAGGGGCGCGGCCTATTTCTGACTTCCACGCGCCTTTAAAATTCATTTTCGGCGTTTTCCACTAATTTTTCAATTTAGAAAATTGCCTAAAAAATGGGCGTGGCCTTATTCCTGGCTTCCGGGTGTCTTTAAAACTCATTTTCGGCATTTTCCAGTAATTTTTTACTTAGGAAATTGCTTAAAAAAATGGGCGTGGCCTAATTCCTGGCTTCCGGGTGCCTTTAAAATTCATTTTCGGCGGTTTCCACTGATTTTTTTACTTAGAAAATTGCCTAAAAGTCGGCGTTGCCGAATCCAGGCTTTAAAAATTAAAAATATGATTTTTCTAAGTTAAAAAATTTAATTTTTGCAGTTGGACACACCACCAGCGGCCGGGCAGCAGCTCCTCGACAAATCGTGAGATACGCGAAGAGCCGCCGAAGCTCGAGCCGGCGACTACGATAGCTGAATTGAGACGACAGGAGAGAGAAGAGAAACGAGGAGGGACGAGAGAAAGGGAGAGAGAAAGAGACACCATCCCATCACCCCTTCATCCGGCTGTATCACCCGCTTCTGTGCCGAAACTGAAGATTCGACTGGGATGCAGCCCGTCGACGTCGTTTCCGGGTACGTTTTTAGCGGTTTTTGGGGGCTCGGGCAGGCTAGCAGAGAGAATTTGCGGAACCGTGCAGCGGTTTTTTAGGAAAAGGCAAGACGGTTCTGGGCTGTTAGCGGGGGGCGGGAAGCACTTTTTCCACCTAGACTTAACCTGTTAATGATATATTATGTATTTTTATAGTCTTTTAGTAGCTTTTATTGCTAGAAAGTGACAAAAATTATTTTCAAAAAAAATTCAAGATTCGAATTTTGCCCATTTTGGCCATTTTTCATACATTTTTAACGAAAAATTCAAAAATGCTTAAAATTTTTATTATTTTGATAATACTAGCAGTGGCGCTTTGGGAAATTCTGGGTTCTGAATTTGTTAGAAAACTAACAATAATTCCTCATTTTTTAGTGGCCGAATCGGCAGCCCGTGCCACTCCACCCCGCCCTGCCGATCTGCCTCCATTGAGTGAGTTTTCCTGCAATTTGTTAGTCGATTTTTCCGTTCCAGAAAAGGAGGAGTACGACTCGGACGCAACGATCCCGATGCTCACCGACGGCGGCGATCTACCCATTGGCGATATGCCGGCAAGTTTCTGCATTGAAAAATAGAAAACGCAATTTTTATGCTCTTAAGAATTAAAAAAAAATATTTTTATTAAATTAGTGTTAAGATTTTCTAACTTGGACGGATTTTTTTACTTAATTAAATTTTGACATTTTTGCAATTTATTAATTGAAAAATCAATGTATTTCAGAGATTTTAATAATAAGCCTTATAGGCGTTTTAGATAATAGCAAAAAATTTCTAGAGACTCGTTACTAAAAACTTAAGCTTTTTTAAATTAAATAATGTAAATCAAATTTTTACGAATTTTTGTAATTTTTTAAACGTAAAAATCAGTTTTTTTTGTTAATTTTAATAGTAGATTAATTTAGACGACGTTCCCGTTGAACATCTCGATGAAAGACTCCCCTGCTCGACCTCCCGACAGCACTGTCCCAAAACTCAAGATTCTGATGGAACCGAGGAGAGATCGAGAGACAGAGGGAGAGAGAGGGAAGAAGGAGAGAGACAGAGACAGAGAGAGGGACAGAAGCCGAGACAGGGATAGAGACAGAGAGCGGAAAAAGAAGAAGAAGAAGGACAAGGAGAAGCATCGAGATCGAGACAGGGAGAGGGATCGAGAGAAGGACAGAGACCGCGGGAAGCACAGGGATCGATCCAGGGATAGACAGGTATAAAATTGGTTCTTTTCCATTATCGGGGGGGGCGACCGAATTTTCTCTGTGGGTCCTGAAAGGCCTAGTAATGTAATTATAAGAATTTTAATAGTGTTTTTATTAATTTTAGCTATTTTTCAAGTGAAAAACCCCGAAAATCGCCTAGAAAAAAATTTCCAGATGAAATTTTGGTCGAAAAATGGCTAATTTTTTGTTTTTATTCAAAATTTGTAATGTTTTTACGCTTAGGAACAAAAAAAAACAGTTTAAAAACAATTGCTCTATTTCTATTTGAAAATTGGATTCTTAGAAACAAGCTCCCCCTCCCCCCCCCTACCCCCGATAATAGAAAAGAAACAAAAAAATGGTTTTTTATTTTATAATTTCTTGTTGTTTTTGAAATATTCTAAATACCTTCTCTCCAGGCAGAGAAAGAGTCGAAGAAGGAGCGCCGAGACAAGGAGAACGGCCACGTGAAGAGCATCGACAAGTTGCCCCCGATAAAGATCAAGCTCCTCAGCCCGTCCACGTCATCTGATCCCTCCACGACACCGGCAAGGGTACGGTATTTTGCGTTTTAAAGGGACCGGAAAGGCGCTATGAATTTTGCCAAATCGATTACACGCAACGCGCACGCCGCGCTTGACCTCCTTGAAGATGTCGTAGTCGATTTGGCGATGGAAAGGGGGGCGGGGCGTGCGCGTTGCGGCAGAAGCTGTGGCGAATCCCTAGCAATGTCTTGCCGGTCCCTTTAAAAATTTTTGTGGGCTTTGAAATTTATACTTTTTAATTTTGTGTAGTAATTTAAATTTAGCCTTTTTTAATTTTGCTTAATGTTTTTAATTTACACTTTTTTTCAGGGTGCTGGAACGCCCGGCCAGGAGCCGCTCAAGATCCGCATCAAGCCGATTGCCCAGGAGAGGTATCGGGTTATTTTTTTAGACTTTTTTTTTGCGTGGATACGGTGCGTCTAGTACTTCCTTTGCGTCTCTCGCTCTCTCTCTTTCGCTTCATAATAATTAGCCACTAGTACTAAAGTCTGGAATTTGGCCACCTGGCCTCTGTGATTAGCCCTGACTTTTGGCGCCTAGGGTTACGGTAGCTCTCTCTCTCTCTCTCTCTCTCTCTCTCTCTCTCTCTCCCTCTCTCTATCTCTCTCCCTCTCTCCCCCTCTCTCCCCCTCGCTCTCCCTCCCTCTCTCCCCCCCCTCTCTCTCTCTCTCTCTCTCTCTCTCTCTCTCTCTCCTCTCTCCCCTCGCTCTCCCTCTCTCCCCCCTCTGTCTCTCTCTCTCTCTCTCTCTCTCTCTCTCTCTCTCTTCTCTCCTTCTCTCGCTTTCCCTCGGGACATTTCCATAATTACCAGTGGGCCGTAATTCGCGGCTTTTCGCCCTCTAAATGGTTGCCATGGGATACGGTGTCATTGCCTGTATCCATCCACTACACGAGACATTGAGGAGCAGCTGAATTCTCGAACCGCCCGGCCGGCCCATAATTATTCCCCCAATTTTCTCCCCCGATACCTCGAAATTCTAAAATATTTTTCCGATTTTTGGAGTGAAATGAAATTCTGGAAATTTTTTCTCTTGAAGTCCTCGAGTTTGATGGTCTGATCAATTAGAAGCGTAGATTTTTATATTATTTTTGGCATACACCGCATTCTAGAGTTCCCTACCGGTTCATCTTTATTTTTCACGCCGCCTTCGAGCTTTGGGTGTTCCGGATTAATTCTTGGCATGCCGCTTTGCTTTGAAGACGTCTGTCGGCAGCATATGGGACGCGAATTAATTCAGCTGGCCCGTGGATAGGCATGCGCAGAATATTGCCTTCCTGAAATTCCATCCGGGCCCCATAGGTAGTATCGCAGCCTAGGTTTTGAATAGCAATTTCATTTTTTTTCCTTCCGTCCATCCTATTCTGGCGAGGCGTCTCAGCAGAACGAGATGACTGTTCTATGCCTGTCTTTCGGCTTATTTTCAAAATGTCGAAATTCATAGTGTCGAAATTTCATAATGTCGAAATTCAGAATGTCGAAATTTACGCAAGCTAAAATTCCCGGTAAAGTCCCGGAATTCTAGGCAAAAAAAATGTTGTCGTGAAATAAGATAAAAAAATAGAATGTGGAACAATTTTTTTGGCTGGGATTTGGCGGTTTCACCGGTAATTTTAGCCTATATAAATTTCGACAATCTGAAATTCGACATTATGTAATTTCGACAAAATGATACCAAATCCTGTCTTTCCTGTCTTTCGCGAATTTGCGAGCACTACTTATACCTCCGAAAGAATATCTGCTAACCCACCATCTGTAGGCCCAATTCATCACTTTGAAGTGGCCGGTTGGAGTCTTGGCCGGGGCGCCTAATCCGGCAGTAGATTGTGAAATCCCTGAAAACAGGGGAGCAGGATCAGGGGGCCGGTGGGGGCTGTTGCCCGGGAGATGCCCCCTCCCCTTCTTGCATTTAATTCTCATCCTGGCATCGTGCCCGTTTCTAGAACGTTTCATTCAGCCAGGAGAAATTCCTCAATGACCCCTGCTAGCTTGCCCAGGCAAGTTTTGGGACCCCTAAGAATCGCTGCTAGCCTGCCATGCTTTTCTTCAGGCCCGAAATGATCTCCGCCTTTTGTCAAATTCCTCCAAAAATCTCGGCTAGTTTGCCCCGAGCATGTCCCCCTATTTTCTAGATGGTCTCTGCTAGCCTGCCCGCACTTCCCCAAGAATTTCTGGTTTCCTCCATTTTCGCGCTAATCGCCCGTTCCCGAATAACCACTATTAGACTTTCAGGTTTCCCCAGATTCCGCAAATAGCCTCTGCTAGTCTGCCAAGCGCCAAAATTCCCCAATAATCCCTGCTGGCTTACTCTTTTTTGAAGGTTAGAAACTTAAAGAAAAAGTCTGGGGCACCACTACCCGATTCCCCAAGATACTCTGCTGGCTTGCCAGTTCTTCTCAAATTCCCGAGAAATCCCAGCTAGTCTGCACCATTCCTTAAAGAATTTTGCTTCTTTTGCCAATTTCCCCAAGGATCCCTGCTAGCTGGCCATAGTTTCCTAAAGAATCCCTACTAGCCAAATGGCGAATAATTCCTCAACGAATCTCTGCTAGTCTGCCCCATTTCCTAAAGAAGCTCTGCTAGCTTGCCTTTTTCGATATTCCCCAAGCATCCCTGCTAGCCTGCCCCTCGGCCGATCCAAGGCCTTGGTTGTTACACCTGTGTGTCCACAGATGTTAGTGATTGCAATGGGAAGGGGTGGGGGGGGTGCAGTGCTATCATATATTGATATCCATCACCATCTATCCATCGATATCCATCCTCTCTCTCTCTCTCTCTCTCTCTCTCTCTCTCTCTCTCTCTCTTTCCTTTCTCTGCTGTACTCCCCGCTGATATGCGCGACGGGCCAAGTAATACAGGGAAGGAAGAAGAAAGATACACGCACGCACCCTGATCCCCCCTCTAAGATAGCACGGGATCTGCCTCTTTTTTTGATGGATTTTTGCCGGGGTCCAGCTGTTTGGATACTTTTAGAAAATTGTTAATGGTAAAAAATGCTTGTTTTTCTAGTTTTCTCTCGCTCTCTCTCTCTCTCTCTCTCTCTGTCCGTTGGATCACAAAGAATCTCTGCTAGCTCGCCATCCAGTTTGACGATTTTTAGAAGATCCTGATTTTCAAGAAAATCTCTACTAGCTCCCTGGAAATTGGGCTATTTCCGCAAGGGTCTCTGCTATTGCTCAGATTCTTTTTGTGGCATTTTGGCAAAAATCTCTGCTGGCTCACCCGGAATTTCCGCGTTTTTTTCGTGCTCCCTGACGCCCCATTTTCCTAAAAAATCCCTGCTAGCTGGCCGGCGCCTAGGTTTCCCCAGGAAACTCTGCTAGTTCCAGCGCACCGCTCGAGAAGTCGCTAGCCGTTTTTGCGAAGTTTGGTAATATTCCCCAAGAATCTCTGCTAGCTGGTCGAGATTTTGGCGATTTTCCGGGAGTTCTGGGGTTCTATGCCTTCCGCAAGACTCTCTGCTAGCTTGCCCGACGTTGCCTGGAAATTTCTGATTTTTGGTGGATTTTAGGGGAATTCCTAAAGAAAATTTGCTAGCTTCTCTCCATCTCGCGCTCTCTCTCACTCTCTCTCTCTCTCTCTCACTCTCTCTCTCTCCCCCCTCTCCGTTTCCCTAATGTCCTTTGCAGCCTCTCCCCCTCCCCTGATCGTGGCCGTATTCTTCTTGGATGGTGTTGATCGTCGTCTATTCTATCGTCTCGTACTAGACGATACCGTATCCCCTCCCCTACCCCATTCTACCGCCACCCACCATAATCTACCGTATTCCAGCCCTGTCCCCTCCACATCTACCGTATCCACGACAGCTGCTGCCGAGTCCTCCTCCACTTCGAGGCCCTCTTCCGGAATGGGCGTCGTCCAGCCCAAGCATATTGATCGGGTACGTTTTTGAGGGTTTTTTTTGAAGGGTTACAGGAATTTGGTGACGTAATCCATCAAAAACAGTGTTTTTCATAGCATAATTGGCCAAAAAACGCGAATTTCATGTCGTAATCGATTCAAAAATAGCCGATTTCAGCGTGTTTCTGCTCAAAACTGCCGAATAAAACGCGTAATCGATGAAAAATCGCGCATTTCACCGCGTAATCGATTCGAAGCCCGGATTTTTGTTGCGGAATATATTCAGAAATGCGAATTTCGTGGCGTAACTTATTCAAATCTGCGAATTGCGTAGCGTAATCTATTGAAAATGCCGATTTCGTTGCTTAAAGAAGTCCGAGACGTGGATTTCATTGCGTAATCGATGCGAACTCACAGATTTTGTAGCGTGGTCGATTCAGAGATGCGAATATCATAGCGTAATCGACTAGAAAACGCGAATTTCCTAGCGTAATCGATTAAAAATCATGTTTTTTTTTGTAGCTTATTCGGTTAAAAACCATGCTTTTTGTAGCGTAATCGATTGATAACTGCCAATTTTATAGCATAATCGATTAGAAAACGCGAATTTCATAGCGCATTCGTTTAAGATCGCGCGTTTTTGAGGCGTAATCGATTCGGAAATGCGAATTTCATAGCGCAAGCTATTTGAAAACGCGGATTTAAGCCCAAAATCAAGTAGAAACCACTATTTTCGGACCGAAATTGGCTGGAAATGACAAATTTCATTGCGTGATCGATTCAAAATTTTTTTAATTAATTTTAAGGGTTTTTGTAAATAATTTAATGGCGTAACCGTTTCGTTTTCAGAGCGTCGACCGTCCCCGGGTGAAGACGAAAGGCGAATTGAAAGCCCTTCCCCGCTATTCGCCGTTGATACGCGAATCGTCAAGCCGACCACGCCGAATAATCCACGAAGCAGCACATCTACACCTGTACCCCCGGTTGCGGTGAGGAATAGCCCAGGTATACTGTCGTTTCAAAGGGAACGTGACGGGGCAGGCTAGCAGGGATTATTTGGGGGATTTGACGGGCGATCTGGCAAAGATTCTTGAGAATTTAATTGATCTAGCAAAAAATTTTTTTGAATTTTTTAATTCACAATTAATTAATGTATTTTGAAAAATTAATTTCTTTTTGCTTGATTTAGGGCAATCTAGCCGAGATACTTGAGGAATTTCGGTAAACTGGAAGCTATTTTTTTGGTAATTTCCGATAGATTAGCAGGAATTTTTTGAGATTTCGACAAAAAAAACTAGAAGATATCTTCTATTTTTCGAAATTTTTTTTGCGAATTTTATTCTATTATTTGGTTCCATTTGCAGTGCCCCCGATCGTGTTGAAGTCGCGGGAAAAGGAGAAGATCAACACCCCCACCACGTCCACACCCGCAAAAGCTTCGACTGCTTCAGTCAAGAAGGAGACCCCGCCAAAACCCTCGCCCTCTACAGCACAACCACACGTTGAGGCCAAAAAGAAGGCCGAGCCGGTTAAGGTAACAATTTTTTCGTGGTTTTACAGGTATCAGGAAGCGTTGCATCGACCCCTGACTTCGCCTAGGTCTCGACAGTTTTATTTCGTGCCAAATTAAAATGGCTAAAAAACATAAAAACGGTCGATTGGAACCGTTATTTTGCGTAATTCGTAGCTGTCGAGACCTAGTGGAAAGAGGGGGTTGATTCTCTCACTTTCTCGCCCCTTTAACTGAGACCGAAATGGGGGGAAATGGGTAAAAACATATTTGGCATGCCCGACGAGTTCAAGCCGTTCGGGCTGGGTTTTAGAATACAAAATAATATCGTTTTCGTGTTCAGACGAGTTCAAGCCGTTCGGGCTGGGTTTTAGAATACAAAATAATATCGTTTTCGTGTTCAGACGAGTTCAAGCCGTTCGGGCGGCATTTTCGGATTCACAAAATAATATTGGTGATAGTTTGGCGATACCCGACGAGTTCAAGCCGTTCAGACGGCGATTAAAAAAACACTAAATGATATAATTTTTGTGATACCCGACAAGTTCAGGCCGTTCGGGCGGCATTTTCGAACCCAGAGCTCTATCATTTCCTTTTCAGAAGCAGCCCGCCAAGAAGAAGGAGGTGAAATCCCGGGCGAGCGTCGACCTCACTGAAGATGAGGACGAGGCGCCGGTGAAGGGAAAGGCCAATGGCGACGATCCGGTACGTTTTTTGACTATTGACGCCCGTTTGAAATATATTTTATTAAGCCTTCGAATTATTAAATTACTATTTTCTATTAATATTTAATTTATTTATTTTATTAATTTAATTTATTTTAAATTAAATTTAATTTAATATTTAATAATTAATAAATTTGGTATTTCATTAACGCATCATTTTTCAGCAAGTCTGGATCTGCCCGGTGTGTTCTGTGGCGTATGCCGATGGGGCAAATATGGTTGGCTGTGATACGTGTGATGATTGGTATCATTGGGCATGTGTCGGCATTACTGTCGAACCCCGGCCGAACAACAGTGGTTCTGTGATAAGTGCACGGTCAGTCAATTTTTTCTTTTTTTAGGCGCCTCGATTCGATTACGCCATGAAATTCGGCTTCTGGAAATCGGGATTTTGCTGGCGTAATCGATTACGCCATGGAATTAGCAACCAGCCAATTTTGTGGCCTAATCGGTTATGCAGTAAAAAATTGAAGGATTTATCGATTACGGCATGAGATTCGGCTTCTGGGAATTGAGAGTTTCCCGGCGTAATCGATTCTGGTGGCGGTTTTGATGACGTAATCGATTACGCAGCGAAATTCCAAAGCCTAGTCCGTACTTTGATGGCGTAATCGATTTCTTGGGCTTTTTCTGACCTTCCACGTTTTGGACTGTGTTTTATCAATTACGGCATCAAATTCCGGGTCTAGAGAACCAATTACGCCAGTTAAGGCTATCCGATTACGCCATGAAATTAAAATCGATGGTTTATGTTTTTTTGAAAAATGAAAAATTCAATCCATTTTTTCAGAAAAAGCGCTCGGAGAGCAAGGTGGAGAAGCGGAAGGGCTCCTCAATTGGCGCTGCTGCTGCGGCGAAGAAGCGGAAATAGGTGTACTTTGTAGCCTATCCCCCACCTTCCCGGTACCTTTAACGAATCTCCTCGTTTTTCGGCTCTCACCCCCGATCATTTTTTGTGATAAAAATTGCCTGTAAATACTCGGCGGTTCTTCGTTGACATTTTTCCGCAATTTCCCCTGCTCGTTTGCCCTGTGTGTTTTTTGATAGAAACCCAGAGATTTCTACCGTACCCCTCCCAAATACAGTACCCTCCAAAAGACACCCTTTCAAAAACCCCTCGAAATACTAGTCTCTTTTTCGATTTCACCCCTTTCTCGTTTTTCTCGATTTTCCTGGGAGAATTACGGTATTTTTGTTGTTTCCCCGAATTTCCCGCTCGTGGCACGCTCCCTTTAGAGGGGTTACGCTGCCTCGGAAACGGTTACGGTAGGAAAATGGAGTGGTTTCAGCGATTAGGCCATCAATTCTGACCAAAACCCGATGATTTCGATGTCGTAATTGTTGGGGCTAGCAAAATCTCGCAGGTTTTATCCATTACGACATGTAATTCCGGCAAAAACCGCGCCTTTTCATGGCATAATCTATTACGCGCTCAAATTCTGGCCAAAACACGGCCTTTTCCATGCCGTAATCGATTAGGCTAGCAAAATAGCGGAGGTTTAATCGGTTAGGCCATTAAATTCTCCAAGAATTACATTCTTTTCCTGCCGTAATCGATTACGCGATCAAATCCGCCGGGTTTAAGCGATTACGGTAGTAATTTCGGCAGTTAAATCCGAGAATTTTTTGACGTAATCGGTTCTGAATACATAAAAATTCTCAATTTAGTGGCGTAATCGTTTTTCTGGATTTTCTAGCGTAATCGATTAGCTGGAATTACGTGGCGTAAGCGATCCTGAATTAGATAAAATTGGATTTTTACGTCGTAATCGATTTTTCTGTATTTTCTAGCGTAATCGACTGTCCCGACTTCCATGCCGTAATCGTTTCCGGGGCCCCGTTTTGCATGTCTGTTTTTCTCTGTTCCCTCTCGTTCTCTCACCCCCAAATCTCATTTGTTATAAAAATAGAATTTATATCTATCTTTATATATCATTTGTTTTGTCCCTAGATTTATCGTCGATTTGGTCCGTTTTGTTCGTTTCTCTTTCTTTTAAACAGCTCCCGGAATAAAGGCTTCGTTTTGAATGTACCGTACCCTTTCATCGATTTTCCGCGATTTCCACGTGATCGGCGTACTGTAATTGTGCTTTTTTGTTTTTCAGTGATTTTTGTCGTTTTGTGGCATGCTGTAATTGCTACCTACCGTAACCCTCAACCGAAAAACCAGACCCGATTTTTTTTGAATTCTCGTTTTTGCTCAAAAATTTTTCATTATGCTAATTGATTTTAATTGGGGCATGTTTTAGGAGAATTACTAATTTTTTGAAGAAATCGAAAATTCAAAAAATACGATTTACGTTAGGGCAAATGCAAATTTTAGTTTTTTTTGGAAAATGGAAAAAATATTTTTAAAATTATAATTATTTCGATACCGTAACTTTCGCAAAAATTATGGCGTTTTTAGAAATCGGAAAACTAAAAAAATGCGTTTTAATTTAGTGAAAATTTTTAATTGGTTTCAAAATTAGAAAATTTTTAAATTTAAATTACGGCGATTTTTGCGAAAACCACCGTAACCTGAAAATTACTGTAATCCCCCTAAAATGTGCCCTCCACTCTTGGAAAAGCCCAGAAAATAATACTGTAAAAAAGTACCGTACCCCCACTTTCCGCTTGACTCCTGTAGCCGGGCTACCGTACCCCTAAATATCTATTTTTTGCAGCGAATTTTGAGCTAATTTTTGCGATTTTGACATCCATTAATTGTGATATTTTTTGCTGTAATTTTTGACGCCAAAAATGACCCACCATATACCGTAGTCCCACCCTGATTTTTCACCGATTTTTTTTGCGCCATTTTGTGTGATTTTTGTGTGTAATTTTGTAGCTTCCACATCAACAATGATATCTCCACCAAATAAATATTATTTATTATAGTTTTAATTAAATAAAATTGCAAAAAAATCTTAAAAATACAAAAAAAAAGAATTTTTAGTTTAGGGGCCAGCTAGCAGAGGTTATTTGGGAAATAGGAGGCAAGCTAGCAGGGATTTTTGAGGAAGCGAGAGCTAGCAGAGATTCTTGGGGATTTTCAGGCAAGACTAACAGGCTAGCAGGGATTCTTGAGGAAGTGGGGACGGGGCAGCGAGCAGAGATTATTTGGGAAGGGCTAGCTAGCGGTGTTTATTGAGGAATCGCCAGCTAGCAGAGATCCTTTTACACGACTGTTCCAAATTATTTGTGTTTTCTTTCGTGATCTCTGTATCTATCTCTCAAATCTGAAGATTTTTGTAGTTTTAGGCTTCCCCAATGGTCCCTGCTAGCCGGCCTCTACTCAGGCTCATTAGAATTTTTGGAGAATTTAATGGCGTAACCGATTAAACCTCCGCAATTTTGCTAGCCTAATCTATTAAAAGATAGAAATCGTCGCGGATTTTTCAAATTGTTTGTGTTTTCTTTCATTTTTCTCTCACTCAATTCTGTAGATATTTGTACTTTTAGGCTTCCCCAATGGTCTCTGCTAGCCTGCCTCTACTCAGGCTCATTGGAATCTCGGAAATTGCAAGTTAAAGAACTTTACCACAGTTTTCAGTCGGTTTTTCAGGGCTGGTAAGGACGGGACCGACCTGAAGAGACCGTCCGAATTCCGCAAGGATCTCTGCTATCCTGCCCTGCTCCCGCAACTCCCAGATGTCCGAAATCAGGTCATTTTTGCAAGAAATTTAGATTTTTCCTAATTTGATGGATTTTTTTTTGTTTAAAGGGGTTGATTATTATAATTTTTAATTTTTTTTTGTTCGCATCTGTGCTTTAGAATTTTTTTGGCATTTTACGCGATCTAGCGTTCTCTTGCGTTTTTGCGTCTCCGCCCCTCGTTTTGATAATCCTATTTTTTGGGGTCACTATTTACGGTTCCAAAAATGTCCCATCTGGCCCTCATCCCCATGCAAAAAAAGCTCCATTTTCTGCTCTATTTTTCCGCTTTTCCAGAGGGAAGACTGCCCCCCCCTCCTCCCTTGATCAACTCCATCTGGATGGCAACACCCCAGTGGTGGACGGGGGTTTTTGTGCGGTTGAAAGTTGACCGGCCGGTTCCATTCCCCCTTCTCTCTCTCTCTCTCTCTCTCTCTCTCTCTCTCTCTCTCTCTCTCTCTCTCTCTCTCTCTCGCTCTCTCGCTCTCTCTCTCTCTCCAGGAGACAAAAGCCATAAACAAAACGGACCCCCGATTGCGGCTTTTTGCGCGGAAAAATTGAAAACGAACACCCGGAAAGGCAACATTTATGGGAGGCGTTGTCTATCGGAATGTTGCGGAATTTTAGTGGATTTTTAGAATTTTTAATTTCCTGAAAATTCTCTGCTAGCCTGCCTTCAAAATGAGAGAATTCCTCGTTCCACAAGGATCTCTGCTAGCTGGCCAGCATCCGAAAATTTTGGTACTTCTGCAACGGGTCTCTGCTAGCCTGCCCCCAGTTCAGAAAAGGCTAGCTAGCAGAGATTTTGGTGGAATTCGGCTTCCTGAATTGTCTCTGCCAGCCTGCCCGTCCTAAATGGTCTCTGCTAGCCTGCCCAGCCCCTGAAAATGGGCAAACTGGCAGAGAACCTTGAGGAACTGCGACAAAACCAGGCAGCCTAGCAGAGATTCTGGAATTCTCTTTCTCTTATCAATTGCCGCTGCAAATTTCGAGAATCCAATGTCCACATGTGGGTTTTCGAGGGAAAAGCCCTCCCTGCAAAACACAGCTGATAAAAGGAATGAGAGAAGAGAAGAGAGGCCATCAAAGGGCAAACCAATAAATAGGGGTTCCGACTAACCGGATCTTCTTGTTTATGCGTTTCTCATTTAGGGGCAGGCTAGCAGAGACCATTTGGACTGAACTTGAGCTTTCTCCATTTTCCCTTATTCCTCAAGATTCCCTGCTAGCTACCCTGGCTGGTAGTGGATTCCTCAAGCACCCCTGCTAGTTATCTCGGTCTCTGGCTGCAAGCAAGCTAGCAAAGATCATTTGGGAGGATCCAGGGAACCTGGCAGTCATTTTTTGAATTCCTTAAGAATCCCTGCTAGTTGCCACGCTTTTTGCACTCATGACAAGCTAGCAATGATCTTTTAGGATTTTTCCATATTCCCGAAAGATCTCCGCTAGCTCTCCCCCTGGCAATCTAGCAGGGATCATTTGCGAACGAATCTCAAAATTCCTCAAGGATCCCTGCTAGTTGGCCCAGTTTTTGAGCCCGAGGTAGTCTAGCAGTGACCATTTAGGATTTTTTCGATATTCCCCAAAGATCTCCGCTAGCCCTCCCTCCTGGCAATCTAGCGGAGACCATTTGCGACCGGATTTCGAAAATTCTCAAAAATCCCTGCTAGTTGCCTCCCTTTTTGCCCTCAAAGCAAGCTAGCAGTGATCATTCAGGACAGGACAGGCTAGCAGAAATTATTTGGGAAATGGCATGCTAGCAGAAACCATTTACAGAAATTCTACAGCTCCATTTGCGTCTTGTTCCTTCTTTCTGCGTGCGTAAATTCCCATCCATTCTGACGTCCTTCCATATTCCGCTTTTTCCTGTGAACGCTTCGATCTCTTCCCTTCCTTCCATCCCCCGCCTTTTTCAGAAATCATAAATTCCGCGATGCTCCTTTTTCCGACCGAATTTCGGCTGAGTTCTCGTCGATCTGCGATTGATTTTCGATACCTTTGGGAGGCTGTATCGTTTCTGCCATATATTTCATTCGTTCTTTTCTTTCCGCCAATGGCCTTTCCATTCCCACAATTCGTTTCGATTCCGAGCGATCACCACGGATTTTTAGGAGTTTTTAGGAATTTTTTTGGCCTGGAAAACACTGAAAAATTTACCTTTAAAGGGTCACTAAAGCCAAAAATATTTTTGAATTCCCTAAAAATCGCTGCTAGCTTGCCTTGCGGTTCGCTTCCCAGAATTTGG